GAGAAACTCCCTCTTGCATAATCTGAACAGCTTCAGATAGCACAGGTCCAAGGAGTCGAGTTGTATAGAAGCCCGGCCCATCTTTTACCGTAATAACCACTTTTCCTTGACGCAAACCGACATCAGTTGCGGACGCTGTGAAAATGAAAATTTGATACCACAGATATAAGAATCGTGAATCAAATTCAAGTGAGTTCAGAGAGAGTTGAACAACCGAAAAAGATGAAACAAATATACCAATGTACCAGTGTGTTAAATCCAAATGACTATCCAGGCCAACGTTGAGTGACGCGCAACCTCAGGAGCCAAATGCAAGTTTTCTAGAGGTTTATTCGACTCCAACAATAGCGAATAAGTATGCGGTACTGTAAATATTAAGCGTCACAATTACATAAACAACACACCTCAAATCGTGGCGTTCCCAGGGGGTATGCTTGAACAGGCGAAATAAACAATGCCAATCGAGAACCAAGATGCAAACAAGGGAGTTCACCACTCCGTCAAACGAACAAGCGATAAGTGAAATAACGTCAAAGTGCACATGGGACAGGGCGACACATGGGTGAGACTGAGGACCAATCCGGATAAGATTAGGCAACTCCATACGATAGTAATAGGGTAGGGTGAGTCAGACCATATCAAGGTCAGGGACAACGGTCACGAGGAGAGGGGGAATGAAGTGTGGTAGGCGAATGAAGAGATGGAATGGACGAAAAGTGCATGTCCGATGATGGATAATACGTACGGGTCAGACAATGACACTGGAGGGAGAGGTGACTAGACAGACTGTTGGGGTGGAACGTGTGGAGGGCGGCAAACAGATTCAACACCGCCTCCCCAAAGCCGGCAGGGCTTTACCTAAAGCTTCGCTCGTTACTGCGCTCCATGGGCTCAATCCCAAACGAAAATGGTACTATTTAATCGTGCCACAATCGCTAGATCCAAACTCCGGTACGCCCTACTCACGAGCTGTGTGCCTATTTCTGGTCTGCACTTTGCAGGCAGAGCGTTCTAATGTGTCGGTTCAAGTGTTCTCGCTTTCCTCTTGCTTGCAACGTTTGTAAATTGTTTCGTATCCAATGCCGCCATAGTTTGTTGCTTACGAACGCCTTAGCGCAACCAGGTTGTGTCTGCCACGGGTCAATTGATAGCGGCCTGATATACATTGAAAGATAGAGTCTGAGTTTACTCAAAACGGAACGACGACGGACTAATCGGTACTTGCTGATTGTCTTCTTGAGAAAGGCTTTGAAGGTCGCAAACCAAACAACAGCCAGCTTCCGTCTTGTCCAGGAAGAATAATAGGCAATTAGTTTATCCGTGGGGAAGACCAACGTGATAAGAGCAGCAATAACCCGATCATGTCTATCCTCGAGACCAAACGGCTGATTACCAAATATCTGGGTTTCGCGCGTGGACTCAGAGTCCTCAGGTATGTATAGATACTGTGGGCCTTTGATCCCCCTTCGTAGTCGGTTGTGTTGGCTTTCATCCAATCCTCGGGATGCAATGTCAGCTGGATTATCATTCGTGGGGACACGGCTCCATTGCTCAATGATGGTATCCTCAAAGATAAAGGCAATGCGATTAGTTATGAAGGTTTTAAATCTCGTTTTAGTCTTGTTTGATTGGCGAAGAACAATCATCGAGTTTATCCATAGATAGACGGCACCTATGCAGATTCTGAGTTCTTCCACAATGTGTCGCCGTAGTCTCGCCGACATCATCGCAGCTTGCAATTCCAGGCACGGTATCGTGACTGCTTTTAAAGGGGCCACCCTAGATTTCCCCATCACGAAGAAAAACAGTACTTCACTGACCGTTTCATGAAGGNGCAACGACGATTTAATATACTTAGAAGCGCGTGCGTTTATGTATCGTGGGATGAGAAGAGTTTCGATCAATCGATTTTTTGATTGCCATTTCTTCCAGGCTGCCTCAATTGGCTTGGCTACTACTTCCTCCCCTATGGATGTGATTAGGCAGAGTTTCTGTAGTAAACACTACAAGGAAACGCTACAAGGGAGCTGGATCAGACCGCCTGCCACCCGCCCTCTTTGGAGATGTTGGAGAAACTCTCGCGAGAAACCTTGTGAGACTGTTCTCGAAGATATGGAAAACCAAAAGTGTACAACCACACATGGGGAGAATCGATTGTTAAACCCATCTACAAAGAAGGGTTGCCGCAAAGGCCGTTCTAAACACCGGTGCATGAGTCCGATTCCAGTAGCGCCGAAGTTTCTAGCCTATTTCACAAAAGGCAAATCCGTGATCAGATCGGGTTTCGTGCACACCGTGGTTGCGCAGATCCAATATTCATCTTCCGTCAGCTACTAGAACACCGCCACACATACGGACGACAAACCATCGTCGTGTTCTTTTAACATCAGAGCAGCCTTGGAATCCATCGGTCGCCTCGCACTGTGGAACTGTTTGCGGAGATACGGAGTACCGAGAAGTATGTTCGGCTTCTAAAAGCACTCCACCACTAGATTTCGAGGAAGGTTAAGGCGTATGTTAAACTTCTACTCTCATTTCCTGTTACTTGTGGGGGCACGACAGTTGTCCTATATCTCCGTTTCCCTTCAACTGTGTCGTAGATGATGTTCCATAAAACGCTTAACATAAAGCAACGAACGCTAGCGTTGGTCTTCATCCTAGAAACAGAGTCAAAGAATTACGATATGGCCATCACACTTCCTTGCTCGGTGACAAGGCACCGCGGTTACTCGTCGTGACATATGCTTTGCACCTTGAAAATGAAAGGTTTTTGCAAGATTGACAGGAACCCGTTCCTGTTCTGCGGTTATTACAATCTAGAAGTAGTCGAAAGCTTTGGCTACCTCAGGAGTTGCATAACGGCTGGCGTAAATGTGGGCTAGGAGGTCTCTCAATACGTGATCAAAACTAACTTAAGGTTTGCTAACCTGCAGTATCGTTGGCGCTGGTGCGACATATCCCTTTCAATGAAAGGGCGTGTCTATTGCACAACGGAACGCGCCCTGTTTCCCTACGGCTGTAAAACTTGACCTCTCCGAGCAGATCATGTCAAACGACTATCTGTCTTCGACAATCGTTGTCGGCGCAACATGGCCCGCGTATAGATGGAGAATCGCGTGAATAACGATGAGGTAAGACGAACTGTATTAGGATCAAGTAGTCTTCTCGTGAGCAAAACAATTTCACTGCATCGTCCTAGGTGGCTGAGACACGTGCTACGAATGCCTGAGCAACGTCTGCAGACATCGGGCACGGTTGGAAGAAACAGCGACGAGGGCAGGTTATGATGTGGCGTAGAAGGTTATAGATTTTGCTCGGATGTGGCTTCCGTAGGGGTTTAGCGGCTCTCTGGCTGGGCCCAAAAGATTCAGATTGTCTTTGGCTGAACACTACGGGATATGGCATCGAACCGAAGTCAATGGCCTTCTTTTCTGTATGCGAAACCAACAACAAACAAAAAACTCAAAATGGAGTGCAGTTTTTCCCCTTTTCTGTTTCTATGTTTTGCGGTAAACCCATTGTTATTTTGGTGCCGTATCATGGTACATAAGAATCACCAGTAGTTACGTGATGAGGTAAATCCGATCTCGGGCGCCTAAATTGCATACTATTGCTTTCTCACCATCCATTGTACCACTAAAATGTTCTGATGGCCGTATAACGTTGCGAACACCCACTGGAAACTTTGAAGTCGGTTAGGTGTAATTACGCTGCGTAGCGCATTGACGCTACCTGGAGCAAAGGACGGAATAAAAGAATGTTCATTTGTTGCGCTGGCTATACACATCGTTACATCGCATAAT